GCTCTGTCTTAGTTGTCAATATACTCAGAAAAGGAATTCAAAAATCTAAAACTGGTTAATCAGAATGTAATAGTGAGATGATCTTTATTATCTCAGTCTGTAATAGCTCAGTGGATAAGAGCACGGCATGGCATGCCGTAGGCCTACTTATAAGTTTCTTATAAGATTCTTAACTGATGCTTATATAAGAATCGACGCCTAGGGGTATGGCATTTTGACAAATTTTGCAAAAGTTTTGCATTATCAAACATTTAATAGTTATTCAATGTTCTTTGCGGAAAATTTCAATTTCTTCTGACAGCTTCAGTCTATTATTAGTCTACTAAAAGTCTACGCTATCAACATTTTCATTTTGTTGCAGAACTGAACTCTTGGACATTGTCGATGTCTGGAACGTATCCACCTGTTGCAGCTGAGAATACCTGTGCGTCGTTGTTAGATGGTAACTTTAATACCGGTGCCGCAACTTGTTCGAGCGGGGAGGATTGGATAAAAGCAACATTTCCTAAACCTCCTTGTGTCACTTCTATCACTATTGCCCCGTTACAGAAGGATACTAATGTATGGGAAGCCACAAATGGCAGTGGTGGATCAGTACAATATTCGAATGACGATCAAACATGGACAAATTGTGGAAATATTGAGTATGTTGCAATGCAAAAGCAAAAAATTGAAATCGGTGGTGTTGATGCGCGCTATTGGAGATTATATTGTATCTCCTACTTGGGCACCAGTAGTTTTATATTTAGATAGATTATTTTCTATTTGTACATATGACTCTGCAGCATTTTTTGTTGATTATACCATCCTGATTGTAATTAGACATCCATTCATTCCTATGTCTATCACTGCCAGCAGCAGGACTTGTCTAATTGTCGAAACAGAAATTTTGATAACGTGAAGATCAAAAATATTGCAATTTTCCAAAATTTTCTGAAGTTTTGTGATTCTTTGACTATAGTTTTTCAACAAAAATGAATAAGAACTTTGTGCCAATGGTTGGTTATATGGGAAATGTTCTGCGTTGGCATTATAGTATGTAGTATGTTTTCCGTGGCAACAAACTGCGCAGAGATTCCTGAGAATCGCGATCTTCAGCTAAAGATCGAATAATTGAACTCACCACCTCCCTTTCAAACAACCGAATAAAGCACATCAATAATCCAGATATGTATCCAAATACTCAGACACAAAAAAATTGTTAGAAACGATTCAGATGAAACATTTAACGCGTTTTTTGATCGTTAAAAACGGAATAAAAACGTGTTTCGCGATCGAGTCTGCAACTCCTGAATCGTTTCAGAAACGCGTTTCATAACGTTTGTTTCATTTTCCGTTCTCACGCGTTTTCACGGTTGAAAAACGCAACTAAACATTCACCGTCTTGCTTTGCGGTCAGCCGAGTATATAACCACAATTGAAATATCGAAGAAATATCATTGTCTTTTCGTTCTTTTTCAGTTTTAGATCATTAGCTATGCACTTCCTTTATTTAGATCAAGTCCTACTGGGTAGCCAAGCCTCTCCTTTAGCTTAACGAAAATTTTGAAACAATTCAGGAGTTGCAGACTCCATCTCGAAATGCGTTGTTATTCCGTTTTTAACGATCAGAAAACGCATTAAATGTTTCATCTAAAACGCGTTCTAGAACGTTTGAAAACGCATTTTTTGTACGGTTTTAACGCAAAAGTAACGCGTTTCTAAAGTGTTCAAAAGACTGTTTTAATGCGTTTTTCATCGTTTCAAATGAAACATTTAACGGGTTTTTTGACCATTAAAAATCGGAAAAAAAACGCGTTAGAGTGCCTGAGTAATTCAGATATTTGTTTTTTTAGCACAGAACTTCGACGGTTTTTGAAAGAATTATTGCGAAGACCATAAGAATAGTGATAAGACCTTTTGATCTCGCACTAATCGAAAAATTATTAGATTAGTCAGTGTAGGTTAGTTCTAATGAGAACTTTTGGGCATTTTATGTTGATAAAACAGCGGGTTTCTCATTGCAGTTACGTCAAATTCACGAAGCACAAGGGCTTTTCTAACTCGTGATTAGAAAGAGAGTATCTTTGCTAAGGTGCTGGCCGTTCAAAATTTGAGCACATTTTGTTTTTGAGATATTTATACATGGTTAGATGGAGAAGATCGAGCTGATTAAGTAAAATTAGCTATTCAAACTCAAAAGCTCATTGAGTGTCAGTGGCTAAACCAGGCCCTAGGGCATTTTGTAAACCCATCTAGGTTTTTTGCTTGAGAGATGAAGCGAAATGTTTTAAGCCGTTCGAACCGTCATTTGCCAATCAATAAAAATATGTATCGCTTCTTTTTCCAGAAATCATGAGGGGGACCAAAGGGAACTCATATTTGAATTTTGAGAAACTAAGTGGTGGAAAACAATTCTAGTGACCCTCTGATACCTTCCCAATCGAAAAAGATCCATTCGTCTTTGGAACGATTTTCTAGTTTACGTACCCATGCCTTTAGTATTTCTGATGACAAAACACATGTGAGGGCATGCGTATCATATGTACGGTGAAGTGTTAAGTATATACGTGGTGCTGCAGAATGCCATTTTGTTAAACTAAAGGATGAACGCTTTCTCTCTGGCAATTCAGGTGTCACATCAAAACGCTTTGTAGGTAAAATAGATCAGCCACCTTCATCGAGATTGCTCATATTATCGCGTAGTTTCCTTTTACTTCAGTCGACCTTTCAACTATAACTTGTCAAAAACTACTAACGAAAAAACTTAATCATCTTCGTTAAAGTCACACCATCATTAAAAACACTTTTTCTTTTGTGGATGCGCTTCATGCTCTTAAAAATAACAGTGCTCAAGTTAAAATGGTGTCATTTGATATGACGAGCCTGTTTACTAAAGTTCCACTTCAAAATACAATTAACTTAATGCTGGAGAAGAATACGGAGCAGAGTACACATGCACATATAATGGTGTAAAACGAGATTTACAACCTCATCAGCTTCCATTTCTTAACATCAATATTACTCGAAGCTTAGATTCGATATCATCTCGTTCATTTTCTACTTTTTTTTTGTATCAGAAAAGACGTACGTATACAGGCTTACTTACAAAATGGACGTCATTTGTTCCTCGTTCTTATAAAGTAAGCGCAATATCGGGTAACTTAGTTTTCTCCTTAATTTTTCATTACAAACTCCGATGAAGTAGTCTGTTACGATCTCTGGACATAAGAAAAAAAGATAGGGTGTTCGTAATTGAGTTCGAAATGACCAAAATCAATGAAGTATAACAAAAAACACGGTGTTCGGAATGAAATTTATTCAAGAGTTCGTAACGAACTCTGCCAGTCGCTTTTTAAAGGTTGAACAACGAAATTTTGACTGGAGATCGGAATTTGAATGTCCGAAAGTTCGTAATGACAAAGACAGGGATGTCGTGATGAAAACTAAAGGATGGTCGGAAAGAAAAAGACAGGATGTTCGTAAATATGCTCAGTTTTTGAAAGAAAAGAAATAAATATTTATTCATAACTCCAGAGTGTACACCGCCATCATCACATTTTCTTCCTCTAACAACTAAGAACAGATACAATAAATAGTTTAAGAAGTAAAATACAAAACTACAGTAGATATTTCTTATTCAACACAATCAATACAAAATTTACTAACAGAATGAATCTTTTCCGACGCGGGCTATATATTACACCAATCTAGTGTCCAAAGAGCCTTTAGATGAGATCCTACAGGCTCTAGGAACCTGGCACGGATTTAACGTTACAGATATTACATAATAAAATATCGAATAGCGACATCACCGAGGATTCACTGCCGAATTCCTTTTTATACCTTTGCGGGAAACCTTCACATCGTTTTATGGCAATCAGAGCCATAAATGGGCACCCGGTACATTTTCAGATCGGCATGCCTGCCGATTTTCAAAGCTCGGGTAGGATTTCCATAGCTATTTGGCAGGTCTGCACAGAAATGCCTGTTGTACTTCCTTTTCTTGCATGCCGCCCTTTTTAGTAGGAAATATCTGTTCATTAGAATTGCTATATCATTTATTATTTTTCTTTTACTATCTGTTGAAGATAATGTCAGTTGTTTGAGAGGGTGTGCTGTTGGGTGACAACAGCTAGGCATGATTCAATCTTGTCTCAAAAAACTGTAACTAAAACAGAAAAAAGTAAAACGTAAAGTTTAACCCACTCTGTATTTTCTATTTCTCTTTCGAATTATGTACGATACTAGAACAAATTTGAAAAAGATTTGAGTAACTAAAACACTTTTCGGTCGAAGAGATGCATACGAAAATATTATCTAAACTTCTGAAACGGAGTTCTTTGGAAGAGTAAGATTCTAGAAAACCTAAAAAACAATTATTGAGATTGGAGTTGAAACTGAAACAGTTGAGTCGTATAGAGCGAACATTTTTGAGTAATATGAGATGTCTCCGACTTTTCTGCGACACTTTCCTATGGAACAGTGTTCAATTTATGACCGAATACTTTGTTCAGTTTATCGGTCATTTTGTTATTTTTCTACTGATTTTGGTGAGTCGCATGAAGAAAAGGCTTTGGCTAGCTGAAAACGGTTAAGACAGCAAGGTCAGGACGAGGATTTTTCTGGGCACGGAAATTAGCCGTTTTGGGCACGGTTTGTCACTTTCCGTGCCCAAAAAAATCTTTTGACTGTTTTGGGCACGGTTATTTATTTGGGAACGGTAATTAGCCGAAATGGGCACGGTTTGCCA